GGAACGGAGTCATCAAATAGCTTCCTGTTTAGCATCGCTGAAAAATGTAGATTCCGATTAATTATTCGAGACCCCCTACTTGCTCGTATTCATCACCAATGACAAGATACGACGAGGTAGGGATAATCCGAGAGCCCGGGTAGAAGTAGAAAACATCATGATAAAAATAGTAAAAAGCTACAGTTGTAGTAGAAAGATAAAATGTGTCGACGGCATAGCCGATTCCGTACCGCGAAGTGTATGAGGTTACGATTACAAGTATAGATAGCAATCAACCTTACTCGGCTTGGGAGGCTTCCATGGAACTAGAACATGGGAAAGAATGTGACAGACCACATCTGGTTGAAAGATAGAGGGTGTCAGCTCGTACTAACATAGGCACATAGACTTTGATGACAATCGGGATTTAACTATATGAACCATAGATAGTAGTTTATATGACTTTACCCCTAGCATAGAACTAGTCGAACGTCTTTGATAGACATATCCTACCGGGGGCTGGGGTAGTTGATAGGTACTAATAACGAGAGCACTATAGTATATTACAAGAATGGGATCTAAGGGTAGGTTGCTTTTGGGTTTCCTTGGACCTGGACTAGCCTCCTCGCTACTCAGATCGAATGTAGCAATATCGGGAAATATTTTCTGACGTAAATGATTCCTATGCATTCTCTCCACACCGAAATCCTGCAATATGCAGAGCGAACCGACCCGTAGAAGCTCCAGTCTCACGTGCCGAATAGTGCTAACCGTATTTTAAAGACTTTCGAGCAAAGCCAAGAGAGGTATTTTGTCCTTTTCCCCTCTTCTGAACTTCCGGTTCCGCAGTGCATACTTCTCCGGCTCTGTGTGAATCGAGCCCGTAAGGCACCAGCATAACATTGATATGCAGCAGTTGAATAATACACTAGTGAAGCCAACTGGCCGTCAATACGAGGTTAAACTGGCTGCACATAGGGATAGCTGGGTTTCGTAATTCACTTCTATAATAATGTGAAAGAGTGAAAAGAGGGCAGGAAAAGTATATGAAGTTACTATCCAATTGAATATGCATATATCTGCGGTGGCGATAGCAGGATATAGTGGAACATAGGGGCATAGGGGCACGGGGGCAGATGAGAGTATTTCTCGTGTTGAGACTTTTCACTGTAAGCAATCATTACTCTATTCATACAACTTTTTACCTGATCTACACCTTTCGTGTTGTCGTAATAACAATCATCCTATACGAAAAAGCAACGGATGTGCGTAATTCCATGTCGACTGGCGTTGATGTTCCGTTTAACGCACCAAGAAAAGAAAAGAGGATAAAAGGTCTACTATTAAAAGTTGGAAAAAGTGGTACGATATTGCTGCATCAACAACTTATAGACTAGGTACTAATGTATACTACCTACTATTACTTAGAGATCTAACCTACCTTGCCTCCTTGATGGGTCTGGGTCTGCATCAATGAGTGCATGCGCTAAGTACACCTTGACCGGACACATACCTTTGACACAATTACCCACAAGACTTGGTTGCATTTGACATTTGACGAATGGAGTTGTCACAAATAATAATGATACCATGCAGGCACCGATTCGGTATAGCTACAGAGTTTGCCTCGCAAAGGGCGGCAGATCAGGTCACGCATTATACGGACTTGTCTTCGTGATGTGTCTGTCCACGTCGTCGCGCACCGGACCCGACATCACGGGGTTCAAAGGAGAGTTCCGCTGGGGGTTGGGAGACTGGGGGGGGGGGGCTGAATACATACCTCATATGTAGGGACCACCTGCGATCGGCTCTTCCGACCTCCCGAAGCTCTCGTGGCGCCGTCAATTGTTGGTTCGATTTGACGTCAGTGTACCACAATCGCGGGTTCGTGCTTCGCATCATGGACCGTCCGTTGTGGGCGAAGAAATGGGTTTTCATGCGGATTGTAAAGTGCAGAAGCAGAGAAGGTAAATCGAACACCCCGCAGCGGGCCGGGCGCCCAGATTTCCAGATTTCCAGATTTCTCTTCATGTCCATAGGTGTCTTGTCGGACACGCCAGACCCGATCAAGGAGGAATGTTCGAGAGTTAAAGCGGAATAAGAGGGGGTGAGGGGGAGGGGGGAAAGGAAGAGGGAGGATGGAGGAGGGAAAGAGGGTCGTCTACCTATTGCATGGCTGATGAAATTGCCCTTATCTCAGGAATCGTTTGGAGTTGGCGGAAGCCAAATGGCGGTGACGATGTGGTCGATTTTCTCTGGCTAGCTGAAGGGCCCTAGTATCCACTTCGCCGCCTCATTCCCCGGCGTCCGTTGTCCCCCTTGTGATCTGGGCTGACCATATGAATCGCTTGACTAGGATATCGGAGGATGGTGGAGCCTCATCGTGGATGTAGCCATTAACAACTACAGGAGAAATGCATACTCTATGCATATCTGGTGGAGATGATGGAGTTGGGCAGCATCACCGCCTAGACAATTCGACAAATAATAAGGGGTTTCATTCACTGTCAACACGTGCTAAACATTACTAGGAAGAAAAAAGAACCCCCCCCTTCTAATTACTATTCCTTTTCCTCCCTTTGAAATCCCTAATCCCTAAATATAACTCCGAACGAAATCGGCCCTCCTTCTTAATGCCCCCTTCTCTCTTTTCTTCCCTTTCTTCTGGCTTCTCTTCTCTCTCGTCAGAGATGGGACCCCGCGATCAAGCTACTATTAGAAGTGACTCAGGCTATGGGGACGATGCGTCCGAGGTGCCGCGGGACGGGCCTGATGCTCATCCGTTGAGTAAGTCTGATTTGTAGTTATTGGAAGAAAAAAAATCTATGATTTACTGTTCCCTGGTGCGAGTCTGTGCAGTTGGATATGTGAAAATATTTGTATTGTGTATCGCTGACATTTCATTCCGCAGCCCTTAAGGGATACGACATTGGACCGGCGTCCAAATTGCAAATCGGCGACGTGAGTCTATTCTGATCTATCGAAAATGTAAAAATTAGAAAAGAGGGAAAATGTGCTAAATCTCGCACTTTTTAGGTCTTCGAATTTCTCTGGGCCGACGCTCCGGAGTTTGAGTGGGAGTGGAAATGTCTCGGATACACTCGCTTCATCGTTTTGCGCCATAGCGATACCTTTCCTCATCATTGCGCTTGCATGTAAGTAAACGACCATACCGCTCCAATTCATCGACATTACTCCCATTTTCTCAATTTCACCGACACCATGAACTCCTTTTTGAACTACTCTGAGTGTTTACGCATAAACACAAGAAAGCAAGCGAGAGTCAGCTTCACGAGGGATCGGTTTCATCAATATTTGACTGACCGTGAACCAAATCAGACCTATTTCCATAGGAGGCAAACACGAGTTCGCCAAGCCTGGCATTGACCATTTCCAGCAAGGATACGTCTTCGGCAACGGTGATCCGACCCCGGGCCTCGACCAGGGCGGTGTAGGGCAACGCCTGCCATATTCCCCCGTGGGAATCGAGTTGCGCCCCGGGAAGCTCCGCGTGAAAGAAGACTCCCGGGCCAACTATGCCGATATTGTCGACGTCGATCACGATGCTCAAGTCATGGTTATTGGTGATGTGGTGCGTTACTTCGACAGAGTTAGGAGGAACGTCAATAAGGCCTTCATGCGTCAGATTCTGAGGAGGGCTCTGGAAGAGTATAAGCGTCATAGAGCAAACCAAGCAGAGAGTAATAGGATGTCCAAGATTCCCCAGTCGGTACTCGACGGTGACGAAGCTCAATTCAGCGCCTCGGAAAGCGTCGTTCCACCTTCAGAATCAGCAAGCACAATTGGGGAGACAAGATACGAGAGGGAAGGGAGGAGACATAGAAGATATTCGAATTCCAGTTTAAGCTCTCGAAGACCGAGGGCCAACTCACAGACGGGTAGTGTCAGACCGCCTCGGGAAGCCCCCCAAGAAGGCCGGAACGAAATTGACTACGACATGAAGTCCATGCACAACGTTGCGATGGCTGGATTGAGATAAGAAAAAAAAGGAATCGGGACTAAATTCTAATTCATGAAAAGAACCTATCCTGCATGGATTTGGCGTACGGAGAGGAGTTCACTCGAGAAAGGGGACTCGAGCATTTCCCAAGATGCAACATGCAACAGAACAACATAGACAGGCAACAGGTACGAGGTGTATATTACGATTCTACGACTCCCCGAGGTTCAGATAAACGACAAACAACACTTATGATGATTTATGCCAGATTAAACTAGTTAAGACGCGAAAACGCGCATCAATGGTTATGAATGATATTTACCGTATACCAAGCATAGGAAACCTTTCGTGGGAAAGTGGGATTTCCTGCAATATTTTGCAGAGGACCAGAGAGTCCGGGTTACGCATGTGATAGGCTGCTTCAGTCTTGTCATCCAGTGGCTTATTATTATTATAACTCACTGATAAAGTTCTTGATATCTCAGGAGCTTGAAGATAACCCGAGCCACATGATCATCCACGTTAATAATATATAATGGTCTCAAACTATGAGGATGCATGAGAGTGAACGAGCTGTACTAGAAGCCATGTAGATAGGGTCTGCAGACTATTTAATCTGATTTAGCATCCCGTATGTCTTACTTGCCGGTGCGAATTCGCCCATTTGCCTCGCGATCTGACCCGACAATGACATCAAAATCCAAACGTGGGACGTTCGATCTAATCCCCGATCATTGGATCCCTTGGTCTCATGGTCCCTGAAGCGAACCGAGGCAGCCGCTAAGATGGAAGCATTTCTAACGATCGGGTAGGATTAGTTGCATCTACAGGGGAAAAGGATCTCTGGACGAAATTTCTCGGGACTATTATATGTGGGTTTAGGGACGAATAAGCTGAGCACCTCCTTTATTTGGGGGATATAGCAATGCAAACGGGCCGATCTACCGGGTGGCCAGAAGCAGTACGACCACTGGATATTGACTCATTGGCTCAGTGGAATTTCATATTACCGGTCCAGCATTGCTCTAAGTCCCGACTCCGTTGTCATTAATGTAACCTAGGGATTAGATCGTGTCTTCTTACACCATCATGCCCAATATTTCAACGCCAGGTATTCAGGGAGGCGGCAGATGGATGTAGTATGTTTGATTTCTATCTGGAGGCCTTGTCGATCCTCGCCTCTGGGTAAATACCGACATGCTTGTAAGGCTTTCCATATGATACATGACCAATAGGCACGCCGGCTTGTGACTTCGAACCTATAATGGCGGGCATAATGTACCAGTCGTCTTATGGTATATATCATCGCTGTATTCCCCCGACTAGGGGTTTTCTGGGGATTTGGGTAATCAGTATGAACTAACCTAGTTGATTCGTCCTCGGAATCGGATCGCCCAGCATGATCCCAGAAGCAGATCTCTGGGGAAGGCTTCCCCTGGAGTTGATCGAGCGGATCTTAGACGTTCTGGTAGACGATTATGACCAGGACCCTGCATATCAATGGACGACCTTGCGGCATACAGCAAGAAGACAGATGCGCCGCATCGAACGCCATTTCTTGAGGTATTGGGTCCCTAAGCTAACTATTACGCTGTACTCGGGGCCGCGATGTCAGATCGATTATAAGCTCTCCAACCATACAAGTGAGGGCGGCTTTGAATCTAGTCGCGTTCGATTTCAGACTTCAGGAGCTAGCCTTTCGAGTTCACTGAACAAAAGGGAAATCCATGCCTTGTGGAATCAATATAGCTTCGAAAATCCAGTCGCGCATCTCAGATTAGGCGAGGGCATCTTAAAGAAGGGTATGACAGGGGGCTATATTGTCAATGACACCGACATCGCTGATCTGAAAGTGGAAAATGATGGCCTCGATATCATATTCAACTGGAGGAAGACACTTGACGCACTGCTTCGGGAAGAGATAATGATGCGTAGGCTACAAGCAGAGATGGTATGCGACCTCTATTTCCACCTTGCCCAGTCTCTCTCTCCGAAACCTCTGCTTATCGTCGAGTAGACTTTGGATAAGAAGATGGAGTTAATAGCTGAGCATCGGTGGCCGCCATTCCCCAGGATTCAGAGGCTGGCCCTCGTCAAGCACTTCGTGCTGGACATACAAATGGCTAAACGAGTTGCTGTCCAGCAACACCGTCTAAAGCATTACGATGCATCCAACGAGATTAAGTTAGGAAGTCTAACTCCCGAGTCCCAATACCTGCATAAGCAATCCCTTCTTCCGTTGCCTCCGGCGACAAAGCCGAGAAGAGCGTGTTGCGTAATCTGCTCTCGCCAAACAGGCCCGTCCATATTCGAGGTTGTCTCCTGCGAGGAGAGCGTGGTGCTCAGCCTAGATGGGTGGGAAAACCTCGACAAAGAGGAATTACTCGACTTGTATGCCGAGGCGTACGGTTGGAACTGTTACCGATGTCTGGGACAAGAGGACAATGTCGAGTGGCAGCAGGTAAGTAAGAACGACTGGCTCAGCGTATGCGCCAGCGGTGCCGAGAAACTGCATAACGTACGAAGGTGGAACCCTTGGTTCTAGACGAGACTACGGAAGTTTGAAACCGTAGGGTTGGTTTCTCCTCTTGAATCGATGATATAAGCTCTAAGTTGGACCATCTTGAGACAATGAATGTATAACCAGAAGGAAGAGGTGTGCTTCAATCATGTTTTATAACTGTAAGTGGGTGGATGTTTTTCGTTAACTAGGGAGTAACGAGAAGTTCGAGCGCAAGTTTGCTACTTTAGGCTATCAGTGCCTAAGCATTTACGAATTTACATGGTAGCTTAGGGGAGAGATAATAAATATAACCGCTTCTAACTAAGCCGGAGTCCCAAGGTCACGGTTCAGAATCCCAGTCAAATTGAAGGCGTGAGGCCTAGAAAGCCAGATACCTAGGTATGTACCATGTTACGATTTGCTAGCTATACCTTGATCGCCAGATAGTTAGATGGGACACAATGTCTATAGTTTCTAACCCCTTTACGTATGTCTTACAAATTAGTATAGTAATCTACGTCCAGCTGGCTTACGTGGGTATATAGTTCAACACGTGAAATAGATGCATAACTAGAACATACAGGCTTACCACATAGTCTATTAACTACTTTACATCAAGCTATTAATTAACTCTCTACCTAGGTACCTGATATACGCGTCTATTAAACGTACTTCTCCCTAAGGGGGTGGTTTGACATTCAAAGGTAAAGGGGCGACCTCAAGGCATTTCTTTTTTAACCTGAAACCGAGAAGCAAAAAAGAGAAAAGTCGTTGTATAAAGAAGCCCGAACTTATTTAAGGCGATGATAATGATACAGCTACAAGCTCTTTGTTTTGATTATCTTAGCCAGGTCTTCATTCATGTCATAGGTATTTGTGTTCATGGTGTCTAATATGTACTGCCAAGACTTAGAGGGGGTATATTGTCTATCTTCATATCTCGTGAATTCGTACGTGCACCTGCACAACGTCTATTAGTTCGTTATAAAACTGTAGAATCCACATGATCGTGTGTCCTTAAATAACACTTTTTGCTGTTTTAACCCAAGCCCTGGCCCCAACATTTCTGTAATATTCTGTTGCGGTGTTCGACTAGATTTGGGAACTCGCTTACGATTTCAGTAAGCCTCCGATCTTCCCATGCTAGTCCCTGGTCGAGTAAAAGGTGGGTATAACTGAACACTGTAGAGTCAAATAGACTTGGCTCTGGTGCTTCAAAGAACCAATCCCCTGGGCCTAGTATCGTTGATAAGGCCTCGAAAGCCTCCCTCGCCCCATCATATAGCTTTTTCGAATCCATAGTTAGCGTACCTATAGATCTTAATATCTGAGCCTCTGCCGCATGGCGCAATTGGTATAGGATTGTCGCTTTCACGATCTGCGATGCGGAAACCGGTGTGACGTAGAGATGCGAAAGTAGGGCTGAGTTTGGGCGGGATAAATATAAGGAGTAGAGCCATGCGTTACGTATTCGGTGATCGAGCAGTGATTCATAGGCTTCAAGCTTCAGGCTTGAGACTTCGGAGGTCTTGTGTGTGCCACTTTCAGCTGCATATTGTTCTAGTTTGCTGGATGGTATCGGCAAAGGTGCGGCGAAGCTATTGGGATTCGACGAAGGAACCAGGAACGGCAATGCGCCTGTTGGTGAAGCGTGATTGTTTGAAGGTATTACTTGGAAATCGACCCCGGCCAGCTTGAGAAAGGTCTGTATCGACTATTAGGTATAGAAACTTGGAGCTTAGACGATATATTTGTAACATACTTGCCATTTGAGGCAAGATGGATTAAAGCTAGGTAAGCCATTCAGGGCATCTTGGTCCGATATAAAGACATATAGAGTCGCTACATCTCTAGCTCTAGGTGAACGAAGAGGAAGCTCGTTAGGAGGATATGTTAAGAGGGGAAATCTCTTGAAGAGTCGAGCTAAGGGAGCTGGTATGGTTAACCAGCCCGTTGCGCCATAGGGCTTTGGACTAATAACACCGTTAGTTTTCGAAGACATGTCGAAGGGACTGTGGCGTGTGTCAGTCGTCTTGCTCGTAAGCGCTCATAAGAGATGAGCTTTGAATAAGTTGGCCTGCGACTTCGCGCAGTGTTTCTAGTCGCATTCAGTAAAACTCCATCATTTGGACCCGCAAAGAAGTCATAGCTTGGCAATCTCATATCTTATCGATTAGATCTTGATAAGCACGTGTAGAGACATGGACAGGACCTAGGTTAGGTACTTCGTAGGCCGAGGATTTAGCGAGTTGGCGAGTTGGCGAGTTGGCGAGTCAGCGAGTTTCCGACGAATTCGCGTGTCCTAAACCTAGACTCGCTAGATTCTGCTAGTCTCGGGCGCTATGTGGATTATGTGGGGTTATGCAGATATTTTGTAGGGTCCTCATCGTGCTTGAATGGGTATTCCGAGGTATATACAATTGATGCTTGTACGATGCTTTGACGTATGTAGTAGGTACTATGGTACCTTATTTAATGCCGAAATTAAATGAGGTGTTAAAGACAACATCATTACCTACCTAGGTAAACATACCAAAACTTGGAGATAAAATTTATCGCTCAGACCAACATCCTTAGCGCTATCGATATTAGGTACCTACGAATCTAAGATGTACAAGATTGGTGCAGGAGGATTCGCGCGAAAGCAGGAGAGCGCCGATCACAAGCTAATTCCGACAATGTTAGACATCCAAAAGTCCGGGGCGCATTGCGGGGTGGAATTCTATTTTACCTCATCCGTGGGGGTACCAATGGCATCAATGGCAGTAATTATAATATACCGAAAGTCTAGGTAGGATAGATGTGCTTCCGACTTGCAGAGTCGGGCATCAACTCAGCCCATATCATCCTATCTGAAGAGCTGTTGGCTGATGTTGCTAAATGCCGATTGCTATCTTGATGTTTCTTGGTGGTCAGATATAATGACTCACGAGTTTCGAAGCTCATCCGCAATTGGAAGAGCTGGAATAATGGAGGAACCCAACTTCTTCGTCCTCCGGTGGAAAGATATCTCGGCATGGTGGTGGGGGATGCGATAGTAACGGACTAGACCACTGCAATTTTAAATAACTTCAAATTTGATCGCTTCACTTGCGCTCGTCGGTGCGCGAGCCGTTCATCCGTTCACAACATACTACCGATGACGCTAGAAAGTCTAGAGTAATTGAAAATGGCGGTTATATTCTCGATAGACAGGATCTACCTGCTCGTTTGAATCATAGACTACATTATTACGGATTCATACGGATTCAAGCGGAGGATGGACATACTGTTTCTGGGCATGGTCGACGAGATCGACTAATTTTCCGCTGCTAAATCTACTTTTAAATGTACTATGATGTAGATTCTCACTAATGAGATCAGAGATCAGTAAGGAGGATCGAAGCTTAAGAAGCTTAGGAAGCTGAACGTGATGTTCCATTGCCAAAGTCACATTTGGGACCTCCCTAGCTGCGTGGTACTCATTGCTACGACACCTGACGAGATCTGCTCACCTTCCCTGCGTCCCTGCAGGATGCTGTTAATAGATGCTGTTAATAGTTTGGTACGCCGAATGAAGCTGAATATAAGTCTTGGAAGTTTGCATGTGTCTAAATGACTTATATCTGGGCAATGTACCTACAGCTTATAGGGTAAATTGCCTCCTATATGCATGTAAGCCGGGACGAATAGTTGCGACAGCAGCTGAAGTGAAAACTGGTTATTGGCTAATTGCCTTTCCTATATCTACCTAGGTAAGTGAGGTGATCAATATGTTCTTTGTTTTCCCTTGCTGAGGGGTCAAGTACTTGACCGAATACTTGGAAGATTCGGCAACTAACTATTAAATACTTACCCAAATAGGTTATCCTCGGCCATGTCGTTAATCTCCGATTGGCGCAAATAGATACATATAGCCACGCCTAACTTAACTGGTGCGATGCTGCGATAAAGGTAGATATTGTTCCGGACGGCCGTCGTTACGAATCCATACCTACTGCCATGTCGCCATATCGCCATATCACCGTATCACCGTATCACCGTATCAGAATATAAACAAGGTAAAGAGGCAAGGTTAGGTATACATACATACATACAGATGTACAATACCGTACGATACAACGTATTTCGTTCGGATCTCGCCTGACTTGCTGCACCGGACCCTATATGCAGTCCCCTCCTGAACCTCTCAAATAACCTTTCGGTTACTACTATATATATTAAATGGCTCGATATCCATAATTCTGAACTGTTCATCCAGATCCAGCCCATTCGACAATCTGCATGCACTTGCAGCCGCTGTGTACTTGAAAAATTAAGGGCCGGTTGAAACCCCCTGGCAACCCTGGTCCCGTCTTGAATGTGCGTTATGTATTGAACTCGGAATTGGGGGTCAATACAGTAAAAAGGCCCTCCTCCACTTTAGATTGTTATCAGACAGCCTTGGAACAAACAAAGGGAAACTAAAAAAACAACTGATCACGATACCTTAATACTTTAATACTTTAATACCTTAATACCTCAATACTTGAATACTTGAATACTTCCAAGATACATATATCCCCACGTTACTTCCCTCGACCATATTTTTATTTTATTTTACTCTCATTGAAGCAAGACCTGACTATCCCATCGAAAATAGGAAAGAATCATCAGACTTTTCTCCAACTCAACCCACTTTCCTCCTTCCTCCTCGTGAAAAAAGAGTAGGTACATATTACGACACGATATACTCTTCGCCCTCTTCACACCCTTTACCCAAATTTCGTCACCGCCCAGCCCAAATCAATTCTTGCGTTACATCCTGATCGACAACTTGGCTTATAGTCAGATTTGCTTTTAAAAGCCTTTACCGCCAGCCTGCTGTTAGCCCATGAAAACCTCTCGTCCTCTTTTATCTTCACATCCTCAAAACACGCCTGCTCTCAACTTTGGAAGCAAGACGTACAAAATCTCACGCCTCTGTTGGTGTTGTCATATAACTGCTTCTGTACACCAGCAGTAAAACTGCACCTGTCGTACGACATCGCACCATCTCGTGCTTTTGCTACCACAGGACCTACCTTAGGATACCTACCTTAGGATAAAAAGGCCCACGTGAGACTAGAGAGCGCATACTCGTTGTGCGCATCCCTCCACGAACAAACCACGAACAAACCACTCTACGCACACCAACAATATGAACGCCTCCATCACTTCTCCCACTATGGCCCAGCGTCAACTATCATCCACAACAACGACTATGACAGCTACAATGACACAAGGCTTTGCACCACCTCCGCCGCCAGTTCAGAAAGCGCCTAGCACGGATGCTTTCATTCAGAACCTGAACCTAGTAGCAGAGGCTGCGAAGCGTGCACAGATGGCGGTGCTGATGCGAGATCTAGAGGGCATTGCCATCTCGTGATTTGCCCCTACTTTCTCCCCCATCTCCCCTCTTTATCACTTTCGAGAACCTCTATGTTATGTTGCGACAGTTATATTATATCACTTAATACGTCCTTCTTGCTTGCTTCCCATCACTATTCTGGAACCAATGGATAGGTACACAACCGGGATTGGAGAAGACCTGTCGAGAACGAGCAAACTGGGTTCATTCATCACTGCTCTTTGTACTACTTTGTGCTACTTTGCGGATTTGGCACCTGACATTGGCATCTTTGGGGGTCACGGATATAATGACGTTGGGCGCTTTTTTTTCTCCCCTCGCCTCCCCCCACCAACACCAACAGTAGCGACCACGCAGCGAGAAGCTTGCGTAACGAACTCCAACTCCAACTCCAACTCCATCGGCATAACCCGGAAACTTCTTCGAGACGCCCGTCATCATGATCATGACTTGTTCTACATATATGAGATCAAGGGCTGAAGACGGCGACATTTGATTACAAGCAAAGAAGAAGATAAACGAATTCCACGAAGAAAAACTCAATATCTAATACTTAATTTCTGGGCTGTTGTTTACACTACTACGCTTTTTCTATCGTTCGACTGCGAAGGGGCCAGGCTGTAGAGGTAAATTGGGGGGTTTATGTTTATTGGCGCCGTTGCAGTTAGGGCACGGCTGGATTTGCGAAGCACCATGCGCCGCTGCAATGTGGCACCACGCAGCAGAGCGCATGCAGCACCATAGACGGGTGGTGGGCATGTCTGAAGGGAAGGTCGCAGCCATCGTATTAAATTTCTTTTCTTTTACCCCTTTCCTACCTAATCTTCATTCATGAATGCATGCGCATGCGGACAGATTCCTTTCCGGATACAATTGATACAATGGATGCTAGGCTGGCGCTTCGGTTGGACCAAGCCGCATGACGGAACGGCCATCGCCCAGACAAAGGCGAGCGGGATGAAAGATACCTCAGAATAGAAATAAAGAAACTCAAAGATCTCGATCTTGTTTAAACAGTCTCCAAAGCCAAGCCAAGCCCACGCGGGCCGCCTAGATTTTAATTGGTCTCCCTTTGACTTGTAGTCATGGTTTTTGTTGGATGTGTGCGTGTGAATAAATGCGCGGGTGGCGGAAGTTGCATGCCTATCTAACTTACCTAAAGCATCCCTCTATTCTGCCGGAGCAAATAGGTTCCTAGATTAATAGATCGATCGGATTCCATATAGGTAATAGCTGTTATATATCTTGTCGTACGTCGTCGAATGCTTGTGGTAAGTTTCTTTAAGTAAGAGCGTAGTCACTAATATCAAGTCTGAATAGCCTCCATGTCACTCTTATGTACATGTGACATGCACTACTAATTTAATTGCTTACTAGGTATGTAGTCTGGCCGAACATCTAAACCTGCTAACTTGCATGCATGCTATAACGAATTCTATTCATCTATGAGCAAGGGTGACTGAAGTAGGTAGGTAGGTAGTTATGCCATTTTGTACATGGAGCATGGGTTTCCTGGCCCAGCTATCGTCAACTCGGTTAGTCTATGATAGGATAAGAAGGTGCTAATTAAACAACTGACTTCCGAGGGAGGCGTTCGGTTCGATTCGATTCTGCCCCGCTGCTTGTATACGCCTGGCTACCGGAAACCTATGATGGAAACCCCCAAAGTATGCGAGGAGTGAGGGGGGATGATAAGACAAACTCGTGCAACGGATACAGAAGGAAAGTGCTAAGTAGAAGATGCCTACCCGCCTTTCCCCCTTGCCATCCTCCTAAGTCCGTACCGCCATCGCCGAGCTAGTCTAAAAATAAGTGGCGTTTCTTCCTCTGAGGAAGCTTGGTCTGGTGAAGGGCAAAGTATCGAGGACAATATACATGAGTTTTGAGGCTGAAATATTTATGTTGAATGTTCTTGTATTGAGCTTCCACAGGACGTGAGGTGGGCTAGTTCTAATGAGGTTGGCACTTCTAAGTCTCAAGTTCTACTACGAAAAAAAGCTTGAGGCCTCATTGATGTCATCATATGAATTATGATTTGGTTGTCGACGAGGAACGAATATTACGCTCCCCATCTAGCCACATTTTATCCGTCTTGCTCGTTTGGTGGGCAAGGTCTCGGCAGGAAGCAGAGACACATTGTAGCGTATCGCTCCAAGTCAGAAACTCATCGTACTAGAACGGTTGAGGTATCGCGTCGACAACAGACTGAATGGTAATAAATGAACCTGGCCCACCATCTTCGCGTAGATAATCCAATAATACGCTCGTTTGTCCATAGAGGTTTTCTAATGCCGATCGCGATGATTTCCCCAAAGATGCTAGTAGATTGTTTAGTTACACACCGAGCTTCGTAGGCGGATAGGTGAACTTACAGAGTATTGCTGAGTTGAGCTCTTCGGCTACAGCTACTCTACCTTTGCGATCTAGTAAAGGCGCAACCTCTTTAACCTCCAGGGGATTGGGATATGCCAGAAGCGAGAATACCTCGTTGAGTGTTTTCGTGGTCTCTGATCTCGTATCATCCCTAAAATCCTCTTGTAATGATTGCCCATATTGGACAGCTTTTACAAGCCAATCCTCTTGATCTGTTGGAGTATCCAGGCCGTCTTCTTCCATCTGGTCTGAGAAGCCATTCTCGTCGACGTCCATCTTGTTAGGAGTGTCGTCGTATGGGTGCCCGTTACTCTTTTTGGCGTTCGAGTTGCTTATCTCAGCTGATTTCCGTACCATTTCGATGAAGGTCCGACACCTCAATTTAAAGTACACGTCGTAATTTTCCTTCAACACACTTGGATAATAAGTATAGGTGTACTTAACGGCCTTTTCAATATCACCCTCGAGGATGGCTCTCCGGATGCCTAGTGCAGTTAGTATAGGATAAGCTAAAGTCATAGCTCGTACATACGTTGCCTATGGTGAGCATCCTCATCATCCTTGATGTTGATTCCCGGTACAGGAGTTTGTTGGTCGATTTGTAGGTCTCGCTTTTCTGCATGTATCTCCTCGGCAAACGCCCGGGCCGTCTCGACGTATCCATCGTGTTGTAAAAATTGCAAGACCTAGTACATTTCGTTAGCTAAAACGAGAATTCAAGATATCTCTGTGAACTTACGAGTTGCTGAATTAAGTCCGTCTCATTTTTAGGAGGCGATACTAATCTCTCCATGCTACATCGTATAAGTCAGCTTTCCTGCGACTCAACAGGTGGTTGAACGCTAACTTACCTTGTCCTATTGATGGCCGCCATCATCTTTTCTTGCTCTTTCTAAACACGATAATTAGCTAGGCTGCCTATTTCCCGAGAGAAATTCAGCTTGAAGTATGAGCAAGTACCTTTACCAAGTTATCGATTTGGAACATGAACTTCGTCTGGCCAAAGTTGACGCGAATGTGTTCCCCTGGTTTCTTCATGCCAACGGTAGGGTAAATATTTCCCTTTATGTCCCGAAACGCAGTTTCTGTATTCAAAGTTAAAACCCGTGCTGATCACACCAAGGCTACGTGCTCGCATGCATTGGAAATACATACTAAACTGCCTCCCATTCTTCGTAAAAAATGCTTCGCGAGTTCGGAAGTTGACTCCGCATCCAATGATGTCTGGCGGCCCGAAGTTTTTTCCTTCGTACGGCTTCCCAATCTTATCCCCGGAATATATATCACCGTCATCGCCGTGATAACCCCATGAGTCAGGCTCCCAACCTGGGGGTCGGGCCAGAGGGACGTTCTTTGCCGAGAAGCCAATACATACTGTGGTTCTACGTTTATCCAAGTTAGACCTTATCGGAAGTATAAAGAATTATTGCTTAACACGTACTCGTCTCTTCTCCTAGAAAGAAGACTGACTTCAAAATAGTAGAGGCCTGCTTGCCATGGCATTGGATGGTCTGCACGAATCGCACAGGCTTCATGCTCTTGTTCCCTTGTGGTGCGACCTGAAGCGTACTTAACCTCCAAGCCGTCGGCTAAAACCTCCAGGGGACCTTGTTTATCATCCTTATTCCATTTGGTAGGTAAAGGTGGTACTATGATCTCATCGTCGACAGTCGGTGCCCGTTCGATCAAATCGTATGTCATTCCTAGGTGAGAGGCTGGTGGTTTACTTGCTAGGGCACCCGCTGTGATACCAGCTGATAGTCCATTTCCTGCTTGCTGCTGAGCCTCCTTCCGCGCTTGTTTAGCCTTGCGCGCTTCATCAAGCTTCCGTATATAATCCGAACCATCTAAATAGGATGGTGTGAACGCGACCTCTTTGTTGTGCTCTCCATTTTGCATAAATTGTTCGAAGGCCCTCGAATATAACGGCAATTGCGGGAGACGGGTCTGGGAGGATATAGCCCCATCCAAGTAGCCATTATTCATATCTGTGTCCATGCTGTCATTAGGTCTTTGGGAGGAAGGATTTGCCGCATAGAGGTCCGAGGTTGGTTCGGATGGGGAGTTGAGGAGATATGAGAGGCGGTTGAGCGGCGAATGGGGCGAACGTGTAAAGCCTGCCCCGAATCTGCTGGTCGGAGGTGGAGAAGGCAGATCTCTCATCTGGGGGTAGGATCTTTGGGGATATGAATTCGTATACGATATATCTGTTTGGAAGCGATCATGGTTAAACGGGTTTGCCATAATCAACCTTAAGTCCGAACTGTGTCGCAGTACGAACTAAGGAGGACTAGGACCAGGAGCTCGTTGAATACGCTTTGAGTCTTTCTTGCCCGTAGTACACCAATCCAAATAATGCGGAACAAGCGGTAGGAACGAAGGCTTAAAAAACCGCGGCCTTTATAGGGCGAATTATAAGCTCGTATAAGGCGATTAAGGGATGTAAAGCTTAGATTTTGCGCACGACGTGGTCGTTTTGCTCGAGGAAAGAGATGGACCGTTTTCGTACCGTGTCGTAGTGCAAGGACACCTGTAGGTATTAAGTGATTACATGTGTATATGTCATAACCAGCTTCTAATGAAGTCAGTAATTGTCAGTAATTATCAGTAATTATCAGAAGCGCTTTACTATGTATCTCGCAGGCGGTGTGTTAGATGTGCGTTAGATGGGCAGCAATGATGCTGAGGTATGTCGAATGATGATAGGTTATTGCGGAGAAATGCCAAAGGTAGAGGTATGTACAGCACACAGAGGTGTAAGTATGCATCAATCACGAGGTCACGGATGCTGTTGCTTGACTTAGTCCGACTTTCCCCAGATATGGACATATATAACGTAGGTACAGACAGCTAATGCCAGGGTTGTATTGTATGTACCTGGGTACATATTTATGTACTTATGTACGGGTGCGCTTCAACGTTAATAAGCGCCAATCGGTAAATCGATATCTACATGTATACGTACAGGATACCCCGTAGGTACATATGCACGAATTAGGTACCAAAGCAGGAGGTACCTAGCTTCCATTTGATATCTCATTTTTCAATATAAACATCTCCAAGTGGCTGGCATTAAAAGATCACATGCGTATGGGCATTAGATTCCACCGTAGTTAAGATCAGGTACTTATTTCTTTTACATAGTTGGCTCATAAGAACGCTAGACTAGGTACGTACTGAGGTAAATACCTACATGTACCTAACATATGTACTTCTCGAGAGTTATCGAACCAGATGATGCAACGATTGCCTTGCATTGCATCTTCTAGATGAGTTAATATATGCATTACAGGTATGATGGAGAGAGGCCGGTTCATTAAAGTGGCTCTCCCTCATTATATAAATTCCAGATTTACATATTTTGTAAATTCATCGCTGTCATCAGGTAGAGATAGGTACCGGATATCTAATAAGGGCGATATGGAAACACAGCCCTTCTGCATTATAAAGGGGTAGATCAGATACTACATGTAGGTACCTACCTATCTAAGGTTCTTCCGGATATGGGTTCTTATGAGATGAGCCTAGAATACGCTACCTATCGTTCCTCACTTTAACCTAAGTCGTCTTATACGAGGAGAGATACATAACATATAAATACAAATATGAAGTTAGAACATACCCGTAATCCATCATAAATCAACCTGAGTACATTTATATTTACTTGAAGAGATCATCTAAAAATTGGGACAGATATATTATATGCAGGGCATCACAGCATCACTAGGTCAACTAGCCTAGTAATCCTCAAGGCTCATAAATTAAGCAACATGGGCTCAGAAGCCAGTCACACAGATCCTATGTCCTCAAGCACCTAAGCAACTAAGCAGTAATAACAACATTGTATAAGAATTCATAGAAGCCGTGACCAAGGCAACAAATGTATGACTTTGCTTCACCATTGTTCCGTGCCGACTCCGTATTTTTATAGTCGCAACGCCATAATGTAAAGCATAGTGTACAATCCCCCCTATTCCTCTAACGCCAAGTAAAGCAAATCTGAATCTTCCCTCTAAACCGCGACTGCATTGGGACCCGAGGCAAGCACCCCGCAGTCTATTAGTACGAGTAATGTGACCCCTCGTCACCCCTAAGCTCGCATCGTAGCTGCAGTCCTAAACGCCTTGCTTTTTTTTCGTCAACCCTGTAGACCCTTGTCAAATACACATGGCGGTCAATGGCGCCATTATAATAGAATGCCAATGTAAGACATCGACTAAGAAGCAGCGGCAACAGGTGTAGGAGCCGGCGAGCTCGCGTTAACACTTGGTGGCATGCTTTGCTGTTCACCATCAACATGGCTATTGCTATTCTCGCTCTTTAACTGACTGCCCTCTTTGTTTTCTTTATTGCTGCTCTCGGCAGAGGCAGCAGTCCCGTCTGCGCTGGGTTGGGGCTTAGGTTTAGGCGGGGCGGTCCAACGAGGAACCTCCCAGATCACACCAGTAAAGCTCTTGACTCTGAAGCCACCCCTGTTCCACTTCCGGCAGGGAGCACCTGAGCGATCAAGTGCGCGAAGTCCGGCGTTGATAGCGCCCTGATTTGCCTTCGGTCCGAGTTTGTGATAGTTGCCTCCGTTGGCTCGTCCACTAGGATCAATAGTGCCGTCCTCCCTAATAGATACAATTAGTAAATATACGTAATAGTAATTGACATTAACCCGGACGTTCTTTAACGGCAGCGCCGTAGAAGAGATAGAGTAGCTCGGGCCAATAATGACAACACATTATACTTACAATCTGGGCTTCTTCTTGGGGCCAGGCTTGCCCCTAATCTTAGCTGTCGGGTCAGATCCATTCGCCGTAGCAGCACTTCTCTTCACGCCTTTCTTCTTGGGAGCCTCTGTCGGGGGTCCCATGGACACCTGCGACGGCGTTCCCGCGGCAGCTGGGGTACCGGGACTAGACGCGGAACCATTGTCGCCATTTGACACGGCCGGAGCTGGCTCGCTAGGAAGGGTAGTCGGAGTAGGAGACTCCTTCACGGGCGACTCTTCCTTAACGGATGCTGGGTCGAGAAGCTTCTTAAGCTTAATAGACGGGACGCGCAGGGTGATGAGATTCGAAGATTTGCCGGAGGATTTTCGCCGGTCCTTCTCTTTAGCAGAGGCGGACGCCTTGCTTGGAGTTGGCATAGCGAAAAAATACGCGACGATTTGATGAAGTTGCGTTGGGATGATGATGCGTCGATGAGACAATAAAGAAAGTTGTGGAAAGGTGGTAGGAATGTGTAAGAGTAAGATCTTTCTTTGGGGGGAAAACCTTTGGTGGGATTGTGCACTTTGTATTTAGATTAGGTTGGGTCAGGTCATCAACCTGGCAAAGTGTGAAGTGATCCACCCGAGATCCGACGTTTAAAGCGCTTCTTGTCCTAAGAGGCGTCGGTGCCAATCTGCCCTTTCGGAGATAGGCCCTGGGCGGTGCGGTGCCTGCGGACGCCTGCGATGCCTAGGGTTACGGGCGAGGCGGGCGGTTTCTAGGCTGGGCACGGTCTGGCGAAAAAAGTGACGACGATGATGGGAATGGTGGTGATGGTTTGGGGATTAAAGAGGAAATTTATCATGGGATGGGAAATGGGAAATAGAGATGAGGGTGCGATGGCAGGGTCAAATTATGAATTACGGGGGCAGCCATTGTGCTCGTTGGTGGTATGTAATAAGTTTTTGGGGCAGTCTAAACTGTACAATCTTTTTTAAAACGGCCTCCCGGGCTGCTGCTCTCTGTCTGATGGCTCAAGATCCAGCTCGTCGCGAAGAATCCAACTTGGTGGTGCACGCACCACATGCCATCGCATCTAAACCTTGAAAAGTCACGTGCTGCTGTTGCTGCTAGTCACTCGACCAACCAGATCCGTGCCGACTAAAAAAGAAAAAAAAAGGGGGGGGGATTAGGTACATACATGTTGGTATGCGATTAAGTATATTTGCATGTAGTGACGTACTTACATTAGGTACATATATGTACTTGCAATAGTAACTTGATTCTTGTATCCATGGATGCAGGCGCACACAGGTAGCACTTGCTGACTTCAAAGTTTCTACCTAACCTACCTACATAACTTCCGATTTCTATTCACAATCTTCTTTTTCCTTCTTTTACCCTCGTCATCCTGTATTTTCTCTATTATTGACTGTATATTGCTTGGTTCTTAAGTTAGGTTAGGTTAGGTAGTTTCAAGATTTGAAACCCCGTGGCTACTAGTATTCTAAACCACGAAACCCCTCGATTCTGCCTACATTGAGATGGTGACACAGGTAATCAGAAGAATGAGTACATCTTAACTCAGCCCCCCCCGTCCCCCCTAGTACCCAGGTAGCCTAGCAATGATACTGTTTTGTATCACCTGTTGACGCCGTTTACCCTCCTGCCATTGCAGCAAATGAGCCCAACCGAGTAATGGGGCTGGTGATCAGGAAACCCGTGAATGGTACCTCGCCAAGTCAGCCGATGGATTACTCTCAGGCTTGCAATTTGACCTTCCAAGTACTTTTTAGGTGTCGTCACCTACTCCTAGTGCGCTCCAACTCAGCGAAGACTTTGAAGATGGAGCCATGTGCAAATGCCCCAGGTATACATTGTTAGGTCAAGCCCGAATCCAATAACACATCTAATTTACACGCGCCTAAGAGGCCAAAATTCCCGGATTTCTATTCAACACACGAACCGGGCCACAAATCGAGCCGTTTTTTGTCACCGGCAGTACGTTCGGGTCTGACCACATACACTTTGCCGATATACGCATGATTGAATGCCTGATTCTTGCTTCATACATACGCGCGTATACGTATTCTGCCATCGGGACTTCTAGGTCTTCTGGGTCATCTAGTGCTTGCGAATCCCCACACAGCCTTAAACTAAACTCAGATAAATAAGCACGCTGCTACACAGAGAATCTGGTCATAATTGGAGGATGCATGCCTTATCGAAGCCCTTTTCCTACATAATGCTGTTACATCATTCCTCCGATCATAAGTTTGGGCGCATAAGGGCGTATATCCCACATTAAAACGACCTACCTGCCTACCCGACAATGCAATATTGTCTCAATCCTGATTTATGTTGTAGGTCGGCACTTGGGGCTATCTACCAATATCGTAATTCGACCTTTTTAAGGATTTATCTACATACAAGATGTTAAGTTCGAAGAGCCCAACAACAGATGAGTATCAGTAACCCAGCGTGTAGGCGTCTCCCGTCAGGCCTTGTGCATCATGATCAGCTCTTGGTCATATGTAGTCAAGTTCATCGTCACGGGCTATCTCTGGGGCTATCTCGAGATCACGAATGAATACAGGTAGCCCCAAGCATATCCTATTATATAGGTACCTACCTATCATCTCCACGGTACAATTGGGGAGCCCTACAAGTTATGGACTAAGCTAAACATGAGTCAAGTTAATAGTAAATCATGTAGTTATATTGAGTAGGACTTGAAATATATATTTATTTACAATAACTCCAGTCTAGTAAGCGTTAGTTTTGTAAGAATACGAGTACCTAAGAAGTGAGAGCACGACTTTGTTAAAGCCCGAGGAACTACGAATCCAGTTAAGACCGGATCACTGATATGATTAGGAACTCTTTATCTTAGGTATCCCAGTAGCTTAGATATTTACTAAATTTAAAGTCAGGCTTTATTATCACTGAAACCTTCTACTAGGTCTAACGAGACTATTATTTCCCGTAGTATATTTAATCTATCAGATGGTATATTTTGAGATCATAACCTTCAGTAATGAAACTCATCTACAAGTTCAATGTTTTGATATTATGAATATCTGGTCTCAAATTTAACATTATACTACTCGAGTTCTATTAGGATATACTCGTAATTGGTTAGAAAGGCCCATTCTGCTATTTGAATTTAAACGCACAAGTGTCAAGCTTCTTCATACTGTTTCTGAAAGTTACCTAGGTAAAGACCCCTTTTTGTTGGCCGGCTCACTAAGCTTATATCTACGTCACTAAAGACTAATTTAATATTCTTTATTTATGACGATATGTTTAATACCTAGATGTTAAGACATGACTTGGTAAAAAGTAGGACTTATATATAAGTGAGAAGCCCGTTAAAGTGTTGCATTTGGCCTTAGTGCGACTATTGTAAACTAGTAGCATAGAAGTAAACATTAATAACAATACTCCCAACAATCTGTTGTTGAATTACATTTAAGTATTATATAAATACTCAAATGTATATTGTGTACTTTAGACGGTGATAACTATTCTTATCGTTGTAACTCTAAGACACCCCCATCAGGATGCAAAGTAGAACGTATACTAACCTTATCTTAGGTATGCTCATGAACTACGCATGGAAGCGCTTGGTTTGCAAGAAGCATATCAAGTAATTTAACCCTTCGATGAGAAGACCATCCTACTCATTTCGTCCTTATCAAAGCTATATGAGGTATATACTCCAAATGAGAGTTCAATTATTGGACATCATCAAACTGGAATTTACAACGAGCATCTGTGTGAGATGTATATGATTAGATGCTTAGAGAACTAGTATTAAATATATCAAGAAAACGGAATAGACCACTGGGAATACCGAAGCTACATCATCATGGGCATCGTTGGGCGACAAAGTGGCCTCATAATGCATAGTTTGGTCCGGCCCTACTAAGTCTTAGTCCTCTATAAAGGTTCGTGGAGGTTCTTGATGCCTAATACTCACCCTAAAACACCTAACCTATATGATTGGCCACTTTGAGGTCTTTTCTAGGAAAATAAGAATACGATATTGTTTATTGGGGTTTAATTAGTCATATAGTCGTATAGCCGTGCGTTCTCCTTGAGATAATATCAGCATATCCTCCCCCACGCGAGGATTCTGCGGGAATACCCCCTCGGATAAGCCGACGGATACCCACAGCACGTCCAGTCGGGGTTTTGGTAGAAGTATAGTCTATTATTTCTTGGCTGCCTATAACAACTTGCCTATCCGCGTCAGGTATTGCTACCCCAACCCCCACGATTGCTGTGTAGTGCATGTAGAGCGTCACGCGAAAGGTCAGGAACAGACGATATTGAAAATTAGACACGCGGCCGGCTACGGACGGGTAGTAACTGCTAGGGGTTAAATTATATATCTCCCTTTTCTAAGGATACGAAAACTCCAAAAGTAATATTTACCTTACTGATTGTGAAGTTCACGAGATCAGTTTGAATTATCCAGGTTTTCGGCTAGTCTATTATCACATCCTACTATGCGACGTATAAGTGGCGTAAATACAATTTGTTGAAGTTGATATTTTCAATACAAACCTATATACCTCACGAATCATGGGTTCTAACGACGTTGCATCTCTTGTCAACCCGTTACATCCTACTCTAGTCGAGAGGCTCGACCCGGCCTTTACCGAGATCTACGTTCGCTACCAAGGTAGTTATTGCTTATCTTGATACTGCTTCCATATATCATATTCGGTCACTTACCAGCGAGCCTACAGCACCCAGACTACGAGCTGATCAAGTTTCCTACGAAGAGTATAATCGTGACCGAAAGAAATACGACTTCCCGACAGCTAAAGTCGCCGGTCCGGCGCCAGACGTAGCCAGCACCAAGATCTACCAAGTTCCCGTCTCGAATCCTTCTGGTGAAATAGCTATACAGGTGTACGTGCCTACACCAGAAGCAATCATCAGTGCTGGACTTGAACGGCAAGGCTTGCTTCCAGCACTCGTGAACTTCCACGGCGGTGGTTTTGTAATCGGAGGTCTAGACTCGGATGAATCCCTGTGCCGGAAGATCTGCCAGAGGGTTGGCTGTATTATAGTAAACGTCGTCTACCGACTTGCTCCAGAATATCCTCACCCAGTATCGGCAACAGATAGTTGGCAGGCGCTGAAATGGATATTTAAAAATGCAGATGCGTTGAAGATAGATCCCTCACGCGTAGGAGTCGGGGGACTCTCCGCAGGAGCGTGTATTGCGGCAGTTCTCGCGTTACAGGCTCGGGATGACCCGAGTTTACCACGTCTTGCCGTGCAATTGCTCATCGTGCCGGTGATTGACGCAAGATTCGTCCCGAAGGAGGGTTCATGTGACCCTACGAAGACGCCGTATAGGAGTTACATCGACTTCGAGTTCGCGCCGATGTTACCTCTCAACCGTCTAGTATGGTTCTATAACTTGTGGCTGGGAACGGATGAAAATCGCGAAGAGAAGGCCAAAGACTTCCGTGCGTCACCAATCGTCGCCGATTCGCATGTCAATCTAGCACCGGCTATCATCCGTTGTGCTGAGATCGACCCACTGGTCTCAGAGGGGATTGCGTATCATGAGAAACTAACAGCAGCTGGAACTCCCAGTAAAATTAAAGTCTATAAGGGACAAGGACATCCGTTTGGACATTGGGATGGATCTAACCCAACGTCAAAAGAGTTTGTTACTGATTGTGTCAATGAGCTGAAGGCTGCCTTTGCTAAGAATTAACGAGCCTTTCTTGCCCCTTTGCTATTAGCATATATTACAATGAAGCACAAATGTTTGGTGGATACAAGTTATTTACCTGTCTTATGAGATTTGGCTGTATAGTTGGTTGGTAGTGTAGACTCACTCTTCCTCAACACAGACTGTGTTTAATAGACTTACTAAGCATCTATAGGTATTTAACTATAGCAACTTGTCACTATATGCCTTTTGATTAGAATAGCTAGAGCTGTTCATCGAACATCAATTATAAACATCGACACAAAGATAATAGATTAGGTTAGGTAATCATACATGTATGTACTTAAGTACCTGGATACTCAGGTAGGAGATGTGTCTACGCAACTTCCTAGATTAATTCCATCGAATGTATTTTTACAACGATTACGACATGCTTTGCTGGCGTGGTTTCCATTACTTGCTTTAATTATCCCCAAAAATAACGTAAGCAAGTTCGTTCTTTCTCTTTCACTTTCACTTTCACTTTCACAGAAAGACTAAGGTATAAAGTCAAACTAGCCCCTCTCGTTTGGTCGACCAACTTCATTTTCTTCTACTCTTTGACTCAATAATTCCAATCAAACTAGGCAGTTACCCCATTAGAAGAAAAAAAAATACAGAACAATTCTATCCAAGTTCAATATGCTACTCGATATGCTACTCGAGATATTCTCTTTACGGTTATCTCGTCTTCAATATCTACTATATACACCAGATAAGGATCATAACAGCCAAGTCTCCTAAAACAGCTCGGCAACCCGAAGAAAATGAGAAAGGAAAGCAAAAACAAAAAAAACATCAGCGCACACCCCCAATAACTCACAAGACCCGATAGAGGAAAGAAAGGTACAGACCAATGTCAGAAAATAGTATCACCTCTCTCTGATAATTTATCCAGATTATCTCTCACTTTACCATCAACTCCACTACCCAAACCATCGGTTTTATTTACCCAAAGTCCTAGTATTATGAATCGCGCGACGAGGACCTGAAGAAAGAGGTCCAAGTCAAGCGCGCAGCCGCCGGACTCGAACGCCTACGTACCGTCGACGTTGCTAAAGCCGCCATTGCTGTCACGAGGTGGAACTAAACAGTAGGGAAACAACGAAGTTGTTTCCCGAGGAGCTCTAATCTATCTACAAGGATCTATTTCTATACATACTAAAAAGAGTCTTTGTTCTAGATATCTTATCTAGAATCCTGACAATTGCCCGAGAAAGCAAACAATAAGCTGCCGACGCGAAGGCATACGCCGTCTGGGTTCAGGATGGTCGGCTGATGCCGCGTCGGCGCGTTGGGGCCGCAAATGTCGGATACGTGGTAATGAAGATTATCTAAGTCAAAACACCCTTACGGGGGCCACCTGAGTCTACAGCTCATCCCAAAGTCATCCTTGACCATCAACCCAAAGTCTAACCCGATTTGGCAAAAGCTGGGACCTTGGATCCAACATTCTGATTGGTTGCATTTGACGGGGTCCGCTTTGGGGTGAGCTTTGTACGACTTTAGGGTGAGTTTTTAACGTTTTTAATTATTAAAATAAGGTTAAATGCTTTATAATTACAACGCATTATAACTATTAAGTTTTTTATATTATAATGTTAAATACTTAAGTTTTTAACGCGTTTTATTTAATTGATTTTTAATCGATTAAGAATTAATTAAATATACGTTTATTTATTTTTATTTTTTATTTATTTTAAAATAAACTTTTTATATTTAAATAAAATAAAATAAAAATTAATAATTAATTAATTATATTAAATTTATTTATATTTTATTAAATTTTATAATGTTATATAAAAACGTATATTTATATAAATATAATGTTAATAAATAAAAGTTAATATTATTTTAACGTTTAAATTTTCGTAAAAAGTTTTAAATAATTAATGATAACATTATACTTTAAAAAAATTATAAAAATTTATTAATCGGATAAAATATAAAAAATAAATACGTAAAATAAAGTTATAAGTTATAAATATAAAAAAATTATAAATATATTTATATTAAATGTATAATTAAATGATAATAATTATAGTTAATTAATTAAAAAAATACGACGAATATTAAACCTTTATATAATTTATAACTTAAGATTATATAATAATACCTTTGCTTTTAACGATGTGGCACCACATTAGTTCATTAGTGAAATGGTAATTAAATTTTAAGCGCGTTAATATTATTATGGTGTAAAATGGTTTATATATGCCTAATTGGGTTAAACTTTAAGTTAATGGTTAAAGATAACTTTAAAATAAACTACGCTTTCGAGCCACTTTAATAAAAGCCACTTTAAAAACGCAACGCGTTTACGATAAGGTTTATATATAAATTATTATATAATTTTATTAATATTTAATTAATGAATTAATGTTAAGGTATCAAGTGACTTTAACTTTAATTATATGATTATATTTTTAATATAAATACCATTTATGGTCGCACACACCCATTTTACATAATATTATCCACTTTTAATATAAGTTATTTTTTTTTATCATTATTATTTAAAAAGCTTTTAATAACAAGTTTAATAAAGCTTGATTTAAAGTTAAAACTTTTAAATCTTATTTATTAATTAAAAAATAAAATTTATTATTTAAATTTTTATTTTTTTATAATTTTAAAATATTTACTTTTTTAATATAATTGTTGGGATAACGGTCATGTGACCTCGTCACATGACCAGGATTATGCCCACACACACCGCCCACGCACAGCCCACGCATTGGTACAATAAATATCTTTCCCCATTCGGGGGAACCCCTCCTTTTTTACCTTAGAACAACCAATCAAAACACGATCGTTATTTGCATTCCCTTTCATATTATTACGTAATACATAGTCAATCCAACAATAATTACGTTATATTATAATACAAAATATAAAAAGGCAATAAATTCCATGCACGGCTAGGAACAGATAATCTACCTTATGTTACTACACTAGCCTAGAACGCACCTAACTCTAAGCCAATGGGCGTTCGTTTGCTGTTTGTAAGTTAATGTAGACCACTATTCCATCTTATAAATTTCCAAGAACCCGTTGGTCTCTTTACATCACGGAGCTGATAGTATATTGGAATAGACTATATGACCGTATGTCTCGAATATCGCGTCATTACACGACTATATTCTTCACACGTCCTTGGGCGCCGCTCTTGAAGAAACTACACGACATGAATCCTTCCACAGGTAGAACGTTGCTCATAAGCTACCGTTTGCGTTTACTATCGTCGTCCTCAACCCGATTGTTCTCCTTTTCTGTTCCCCGTATGTCGTTAACGGGGCGACCTCTATCTCCTGAGCAAGCCAAGTTGGTAGATATCATCATGAGTGGACATAATGTATTCTACACCGGCTCGGCAGGAAGCGGCAAGTCTACAGTCTTAAAGGCTTTCTCTAAAAAGCTACGGGACCAGGAAAAGGTGGTTCACATCATTGCCCCAACCGGACGGGCAGCCTTACAAGTTGGTGGTTCCACCATATGGTCATATGCTGGATGGACCCCGGACTCGATGAAGGAAGGCATAGAGGCACTTCTTCAGGATTCGCAAAGAAAGCATTGCAGGAAACGCCTCAAAAATACCGATGTTCTAGTTGTCGATGAAATAAGCATGATCGAAAACTTTCACTTTGAGCGGCTTAACGCAATCATGAAAACAATCAAGGGGTCTGATATGGCTTTCGGTGGTGTCCAGCTAGTCGTTACAGGAGACTTTTATCAACTTCCGCCTGTGCAGCCATTTCGCTTTTGTATCAAATGTGGGAGTGAGATGACCATAGATCGCACGGAGGGGTTCTATACATGCAAGGAACACGGCCACTTTTACGACGAGGACAAATGGGCTTTCCGAAGTCAAGCTTGGGAAGAATGCAACTTCGTCCATTTTGCTCTAAAATCAATCCACCGGCAAAGCGACGAGACATTTATAAGAGCCTTACAAACGATTCGAGTTGGGGACCCATTGACAGAAGGTCAGACTAACTTGCTCATGGATCACCCGTGCGTTACAACAAATGCAATTAGACTCTATGCATCGCGCAACGAAGTGCGGGAGTTAAACACTCGGGAGTTTAAAAGGATATCGGCGAAGAAGTACACATATAAATGTGTGGATGGCTTCTTGTGGAACAAAAAAGTGCATCCACATCTCGAAAATAAGAATCACCGAGCAAAAGACGAATCATTACTAGCACTCAGTCAGCATCAATACGAGAGTTATGTCGAGCTAAAGCAAGGCATGCTCGTCGTGCTACTTTTTAATCTAGACTTGAGCCAAGGACTATGTAATGGCAGTCAAGGTATTATCTGTGGGTTTGCGAATTTTGATCCCACGAAGTCCTTGGTCGTCACCCAAAATAAAAGAGACACCGATCCTACGAAACCGCTTGAAGATATATTAACCCGTATTGCTTCATCTCAAACCGATACGTTCATGAAACGGGTTGAGACGACAGTCTGGCCGGTCGTTAGATTTCACAATGGGTTAGTAAAAGTAATTAAACCACATTGCTCTACAACTTGCTTGGGAGATGAGCAGCCATACAGCATTCTCAGCCGAACGCAGATACCACTAGCTCCTGCATGGGCGATGACGATTCATAAGAGCCAGTCGCTGACGCTCGACCGCGTCATAGTAGATCTTTCGAAGGCATTTGTCGATGGGCAAGTCTATGTGGCTTTATCGAGGGCGAGGAGTCTAGAAGGCCTTAAAATTGAAGGTAGTCCGAAAGACTTGACGGCTGGGGTAGGAGCAAGTCCTGAAGTACGAAAGTTCTATAGGAGAAAGTTTGGGGTATGATGTTTTCAAACGACCTGTTGGGATCTCTGGTGTTGAAGATAGAATACTATATATGTACTATATAGTAACGTAAGTAGGAATTAGTTGATATCGAATAGTTCTAATTTTATATGCCTTAGGGCTACTGTCCGTATAAAGCAGCTGTTTTTAGCTACAACAGTTTATAGTGTCTCGATATAGTGTAACCTTGGGAAGTATTCAGATGTCATTGGATACGCTTAGGAGCATGCATTGTGTTGGTATCTTTGTGTGGAAATAGAACCACTGGGTAGATAACAGCGATCAACGGAAATGCCTTACTTTGAAGCCGATATGTGTGTTGCTCAATAAGGCAGGTAGTTAGAAGATAGATACCCCTAAGCTTTTGATGAAGAGTGGGCTTGAATACCTCGACGGCAACCCAAATGTCTTTGTACGTTGGTTATAAAAGAAACATTTCCTACTTACGCAACTGGGAAGTAGAATGATTAGGTACTTTCGTTGGCTATATAAAGACTCTATCTTGTTTTCGCAACCTACATTATATTGATTCTTACTCTCCGATATACATCAAAATGAGAATTAATGACTTGCACATGCTTATATATAGGTACCTAACCTCCTATCGCCTGAATCCAAGCCTTACAGTGACGTGTGCAGATCCTTAAGATGCGCCAGTGTGGTCATCTGCCTTATTGGAATTAAGTAACAAAATCTAACCAAGGGGACGGGCCGATAACTCTCAAACAGGAATTATAGTAAGTACACCAAGTTCATATATATATATATATATATAAACCCTGAGAAAAAACACATGTGCCCTTGTCAGATTTGGAATTTGTCCCCTGGGACGATCTAAACAGCGGTAGCCGAGCAAGAGTCAACTCATGCATCTGATTTTATCCGGGGAAACATAAAGCATCCAAATAGGATTCCGGACCAGGTTATGTAAGTCTCTATTTCCACTGCTGGTGCTACACAATCCGGGGCTGTGGCCTATATGACAACTGCTAATGCGCCAAGGTCAGATGCAGACACATCCTATTATGACCTGACTGTTGACTTGCGATCTGAAAACGTACCATTTAGCTACCTAACTAATCTTTATCTGATCCTCACGGAAGAAGACTCGTGAAATCTTGGTGGTTTGGCGTTCTCTTGGGTGTTATTTTTACTATAGTGGTAACTGACACAGCTGGTCTAGAAGTAATATGCCCCCAATTGTGATCCTTGGCGTGATAGGAAGAGGGGATACTTGGCTGTTCTGTCAAAATTTAGAGTCGTCATCGCTTAACTCCCCCACGATTCTCCTACAGTCTTCCTACGGCTAGTGGATGCCGGACCTAGCCAGCGGCAATGCTCGAAATATCCCGCCGCGATGTCAGGCACAACGTGACAATCCCCCCTGTCTATCCCTATAGCGTGAATGCATATTCGCGGCTCGTCGTTCCCCATGGGAAACCAGGACCAGGGGGTGATCTCGGCTATATTCGTGATATTAACCGCCATGCTTCTATACGACGACGCCCGTGACGGGACGGCAGCAGCATGCAAAAGGAAATGAAGAAAATTCTCCGGGGAAACTTGAAGAAGGGAGGTTCGTTCACCCGGTTGTAAGTTTAAATAGGCGACTAGTTTCGCATCGTGACAGCGAGCCTGAAGAAGCATCTATAACGATCGCTTTCGCTCTTCTTAGGATGCAGCTAACCGTGAATTCGCTCGCCGCCAGCCTGGCGCTGCTCGCGCCCAGTGCCCATGCACTGCTCCGTTTCTCGTGCTCGCAGCTCGTCGTCGAGCGTCTCGACCCGCTCGTCTTCCCCGGCGTCACGGGCTCGCCGCACGTCCACCAGATCATCGGTGGTAACGCCTTTAACCAGTCCATGGAGTACCCGCGCATGGATATCCCAAGTGAGGCTACGTGTACCACGTGCACCTTCGCCGAAGACTTGTCCAACTACTGGACTGCCGTTCTCTATTTCCGTGCCCGCAATGGCACTTTCAAGAGGGTCCCGCAGATGGCAAACTCCGGGTTCGAGGGCGCAAACGGCGGCATGACGGTTTACTACACGCCCAGCTACAACAACGGCAAGGTTACTGCTTTCAAGCCTGTAAATAAATCACCTGCCTAGCCAGAGATACAACTTAGAGGCTAATCGTGAATCTACCCCTAGGGCTTCCGAATGATCGTCGGAGATCCGTCATACCGAACCGAGGCCCAGGCCAAGAAGTTCCGCCAGCTTACTTACACCTGCCTCGACAACATCCTCACCCGCACTGGTGAGACCCTTGATATGCCGAAGAAGGTCTGCAAGGCCGGAATTATGGCTAACATCCGCTTCCCGACGTAAGTACTTACTGCTAAACTAAGCCTTTGCCTCCTGAAAATAAAACACCCTACTGACCCCCTTTAAAGCTGCTGGGACGGCAAGAACCTCGACACAGCCGACCACTCGAGCCACGTTGCGTATCCCGCCAGTGGTACCTTCGAGAGTGGCGGTGCCTGCCCTTCGACTCATCCCGTCAAGATCCCCCAACTATTTTACGAGGTCATCTGGGACACACGTGCGTTCAATAACCCCAACGACTGGCCTACCGACGGCAGCCAGCCCTTCGTCTGGTCCTTCGGTGACATAACCGGATACGGAAACCACGGTGACTACATGTTCGGCTGGAAGGGTGACGCTCTTCAGAAGGCCATGGACTCCAACTGCAATATCAACTGCCCTCAGCTCAAGACCCAGTCCATCTCGCAAGGTAACCAGTGCAGCAAGAAGGTCTCTGTCAACGAGGAAATCGACGGCTGTAAGTAACACCTTTATTCACCCTGACTCTGCGCGTGTTCTATTAGATAAATATTCTAACACTTGGTATCTAGGGCTCAAACAGCTTCCCGGCGGGATGCCCGTCACTGACGCGACCGGCAAGGTCCTCTACTAAACGGACGGTGTTTTAATGATAGCGTAATGAATATATTCAATGAGCAGAAAAACTAATGGCTTCGGTACAATGAAGACCGGCGTGTAGGCGTGATTTCATCAAGATTCCGTCTAATACTAGCAAGACAGCCTAGTCAATAGACCATGAAGCCATCAAAGTCCAAACATCTGACGTTAGTTCATAGGAATGCATTCATCTTGGCCTCTATGTGCTTTTAATGTATACCATAAAAATGTCAACTCTCCTATACCTCAGGTAGGTGCCTAGCTCAGTTACCACTTTAGAAACTTGCCTCCTACTTTATTGAGAGATGCGTCGCAGTAACATATGCATAGACACTAGGATATTCCAGAGCCGTGAAAGAACTCGAGTGCAGTCCGTTGTCGTTCGTCAAAAGGGTCATGGCGCAAATCGGTATAGGCTCCAGAGTCATTGATTGCGGCGACGATCCAAGGGTCTGGAGTGACATGTCAGCCAAAATTAAATCCAAGTGCAAGTTATATTGACTTACACTGATAATCGTCGCCCACCTTCATGAGAAGAATGTCCCATTTGCGCGTGGCGATCTGGGGGCAAGCCTGGAGAGTACCTTCTGAGCTAGCAGTGCAATCATAGATGATCATGGCATCCCACGTGCAGGTCGAACAGCTCTCAGGTGGTCCCCTGAGGAACTTAATCTTGTCCCAGAAGGACCGGAGGAAACCGGTAGTGGCATTAAACGTGCCTCGTTTATCTGCCGGGATGGTGATCTTGACATGGACTGGGGGCACGTTAGCAAGGGTATGTTGTACTTGTAGAAACGAAACAAGAGCTCACGTTATTTTTTTTTGGCGATGCCTAGGGGTCGAGAAGAAGCGAGGTTTTTCTTCATTAATTCGCAATTGCTCTTCATGCGTGACGAAGAGTGCCTCACCAGGACAGACTCTTATTCCCCAAACAGATATATTGGTATCCAAGATAACAAGCGAGATGGGACGGATCGTTTTCAGTGGCTTCCTTGTACGCGATGGTAAGTGTCAAATCAACGGTGTAGTTAGCGAGGTGTGACACTAGGCTTACAGGATTGGGAGAAAAAGTAACACTCAGTTGGAATACAAGTAGATGTGGTGGCTTTTATGATCTAGATATTGTCTTAGCTGCATTAATAGGTTATCTACATCTTGTATCGACTTTTCTCGTTATATCTGAGGCTCTTATAAGTATAAGTGGAGTGGGAATATTGGTTAATTTAACAATTAAACCCGTTTCCCTATTGCATTCGAGAATTACGCCACAATCATTGTTGTAACTGGGGAGAATTACTATAATCCTAAGCCAATGGCTATGCTTGTCTTACTCAAAGGACGTACAGTCCCCATCTACATATATGGTGTAAAGTTACACACATTGTCTCAGGAGACACATCGTGCCGGACAGAACGTATGCTAAATAAACCTCAGGTGCTTGATTAGGATATTGGTGCAAATAAATCGCTACGAGGAACAACGGCAACGCCAAATCCCGAGGTGTGTGGAATTTATTTCGAATGGCGGATCAACCGAGCTCGGGGTAGCTATCTATCCCCTTTCTGAACAACGATGTAAGGGTTAAGTATCCTAGGTAGAAAGGAAAAGGGGGGCAAGCCTCGGCTCCCAGCTATTACCCCAGCATTTTTCTCCACTGCTTCTAGGCTGATTTGCGGGGATAACGACCAAAAAGGTGCCATTTCAACCCAATTATATTTGTCACCGTCACCTTCTCTTTTAACCCCTACGATCTGGAGCCAATGATAAGGCTCACGTAGCGAAGAAGCTATGATTTGCATCACTACAGGCTACGGCACCAACGAAGTTCGGCTCCGTCTCCGCCGTGCCCGAGCGAGTCTTATACATAATAATATGATTTCTCTTATACACGAACATACAGCTCCGACTTACTCTTATTTACGTCTGCTTATCACAAGAAATTGCGAGCTCCGAGTCTTCGTGATAGTGGCATTTTGCACCGATACAGCTGCCTGAATCCCCTCTTTTCGAGATAGTTCATTCGCGGGGCGACGAACAGCTGTTAGTCCAACTCTGTTTAGAGGAAGCTACCTACCTACCTAGGTATTCAACACTTCACAGGGAAGTAAATTCGGAAATATTTTAATCGCTTCCACCTACGTTTCCTTCTTATCATCCTCGCGATATCTGTTCCCACTATGGTTCTCGAATCAAGATGGACGGTGCCGATACCGAATTGCTCCGTGCCAAAATGGGTATTCGGGTCTTCCTTCGACTCACTTCCAGACAATCCCCAATTCATTGATGTTGACCGCCCGGAGACGCATTTCATCACCCAATCTGGTTTTCGGCTGTGGTCGAAGCGGCTGGCCTTGGGATTGACGCGAGCAGGTTTGAAACCTGGCGATCGCGTACTCCTCTTCTCCGGCAACTCGCTCTTCACCCCAGTAGTTTTCATGGGTATTCAGATGGCAGGGGGGGTTTTCACAGGCGCTAACCCTAGCTTCGTCGCCAGGGAGCTTGCTTACCAGCTGAAGGATAGCGGTACTTCGTTTCTAATTGCAGCCGACGCTAGCATGGAGATCGCGATAGAAGCCGCCGACAAGGCTGGTCTTCCGAGGAGTCGAATATATAGTTTTGATATAAGCGCTCTTGACAAGCAACCAGGCAAGGCGCGACTCGGAACTCAACATTGGACTTCTCTTCTCGCCCCTAAGAGCGACGCAGTCAGGTTTGACTGGGTTGAACCCGCCGACGCGAGGACGACGGTGTGTGCTCTTAACTACAGCTCAGGCACGACAGGTGTGCCGAAAGGCGTCGAAATCACACATTATTCCTATGTAGCGAACGGCCTCGGAGTTAGCTACATGGAACGACTGGATCCTGAATATGAAGAGAAGAAGAAACGGTACCGCCGTTTAGGCTTTTTACCGATGTATCATGCATACGGTCAGACCTTCTTTGTCTGCATCTATCCGAAGGAAGGCGTGCCAGTCTACATTATGTCTTCATTCAGTTTTGAAAAGATGCTACAGTGTATTGAGAAATTTCGTATTGACACCCTCCTCGCCGTACCACCTATCTTGGTTCTACTTGCCAAAAGCCCTCTTAGCCGCAAGTATGATCTCAGCAGCCTCGAGAATATAGGCTCTGGTGCCGCACCGCTAGGAGCCGAAGTTAGTGACCTCATCACTAGGCTTTGGCCAGACGGTGCTTTGAATCTCCGCCAGGGATGGGGTATGACAGAATTGACATGTTCAAGTGCAAGTTGGCACCCCAAAATGGTTGCTAAACCCGCAGCCGTCGGCGAATTATTGCCAAATTGCAAAGCGCGTATCATGAGAATCGACGGCTCAGGCGAGATCACCAAAGGCAATGAGAGGGGTGAGGTATGGATTACTGGGCCTACGCTCATGAAGGGCTACTGGAGGAAGCCAGAAGCTACCGCGGCTACCCTCCATATCGATCCAGATGGCACCCGTTGGCTGAAAACCGGCGATGTTGGGTTTGTGGAGAAGTACGAGCCGGGTGGGCTGCTCCACATCGTTGACCGCATCAAGGAGCTCATCAAAGTGAAGGGTAACCAAGTAGCACCGGCCGAACTTGAGGACGTATTACTCGAAAATAAGGGTGTCCGCGACGTCGCTGTCGTGGGCGTTACGATCAAAGGCGAGGAAGTGCCACGTGCATACGTTGTGCCAGACCCCGAGGTGAAGCAGACGGAGCAGGAAATTGCCAAGTGGATGGAATCCAAAGTTGTCAACTATAAGCGGTTGCGAGGCGGTGTGAAGTTTGTCGAGGCCATTCCCAAGAATCCGGTAAGTCTAACAAGATGTGTGTGTGCTCGATGAGAATTCGACGGCTAATAGTTACATGTAGTCCGGCAAGATCCTTCGCAAAATACTTAAAGACCAAGCAGCGGAGGAAGTTGGCGATAGCAAGCCGGGAATGGCGAAATTAGCCTAGAGTTGCACTTGGACAACAGCTGGGATATCGAATTGCTTTCTCTTGAAGATGTGTGTAGGAATGTAAAGAGAATTCAATGGTATATACGGATTCCTCTGGGTTTAACAGATTCACGATATCCGAGAAACTCGTAAGATACATTAGATACATGAGAGGCTGCTTCTTCCAGAGCGTATTCCACCAGTATACTATCTCATTTTTATACGAATTTAATTAAACGCACAGAATTTAAGCCGTTGCACTAGTAGTACAGTATAGCAGAGAGAACATCCTCGTTTATACAAATCAAGTGACTATTAAGACGTCTGTCCCTTAGACAAAAAAGGGTTATATAGATGTAGGTATAGATGTAGGGATGTATATTTCTGGTCCGCGGGAGTTGAATTCATATAGTTCCTTGTACATAACAGTTATTCACATTGTTAGATTTTGCCTAGCTTCCAGCTCCGATGACTCAGATCTAATACAAAGGGGCTAGTTTTAATATATTAAATACCTAGGTAGTTAGTAACTATCTTAAAGTATACTTTCTAGAGTTTAGTATCGGGCTGGGTATAGCAACTGCCCTCTATTAATAAATATATATTTTAGCTAATAGGAGTAGGAGTCTGTTGACTCCTTCAATATATTGTATACTTCGGCTCTCCATCAACTATTACTTAGTTATTTTTCCCACTCCATGTCTGATATATTATCTACGACACTGTACAACCCCAGCCTTCCTCCTCCATACATGTCAATTCCGCCCTTGATGTTAAGAGGATTGTCCGGCTCATCTGGGTATCCATAATGGCCCGTGTTTTCCGATGCAGATGTCCAGCAGCGGCGCATGACATCGTCTGCCTCCTTATGGAAAGCTTGGACTCCAGGTCTTCTTCGGATTAACGGTTGCATCTTCTGGAGAATCCTATAGAACCAATAGCGACGGCCTCGACCGTTCACAATGTTGTAATTGGTTATGTCGCCGGAGCGATCCACATGGTACACAATGTCCCGTAATTTGAGGCCATTCACACAGTCGCGTCCAGTTAGAAACACGCTGGTATTACAAAGTTTGTCGAGATCATTTCTCGGGTGACGATCATCAGTGAAGGCACGGAAAAGAAATAGATGTGGCCCGCCAGAATGAGCATATCGTATCGAGCCGTCGCATATCTCAAGAGTTATCACTTTACCGCTCTGAAGCTTCAGGGCAAGCTTCCACGTGTTAGGTAGTGGAAGAAAACGATCCCTCGATGGTAGGGCGAACAACCACACGCTTTCTACAATTTCTTCCCAGATGAGGGGCCATGCGTCAAGTGGTGTGGAAGAGGTGAGGCCAAACCAGAAATTGAGGCTGAAGTTATATGCGGCTATGTCGAACTCCTCACGCGAGCGGGTGGTGAGGTGGTCTGTGACGTGCTTGAGCTCCGTCTTCATCTTGGTACAATATTAATAGAATTTAAAGTGAGCGCAAAGCGAAGTTGGTGGTATTAGACTACCTGGTTGAAAGTATCAGTAGGCAAAGTGTCTCAATTCCGAAGACAGAGTTAAGTTAGGTGTTTCGTTTGCAGTTGGACTTCTTTTGGCTTGAATAGGGGCCGAATAAAATGATTTTTATACGGCATAGATCTGATAATAGGTGACTAGGAAATTGTTTCTTATTAATATATAACTATGTCGTAGTTTAGTAACAACACCAATGTATGCAATTTTTGGATATATAATGTGACAAAGATATTTGTATCAAGATGTGATACGATTTTCAATGAAGTGGAAATCATTTGGGTTCTTAGACTAGTAGTTATGGGACAACTAGTAATCATTAACTTAGAACGTAGACAGGTAGGATCTGAAGCTAGACTCACCTTAGGTAACTGGGCTTGGATATGTTTGTGATATAATAAATACCTACCTAGGTAGTTATTCGTATTAGAGTTAATTAACTTTAACTAACTACTGTAATTTGAGTACATAGAAGTAATAGTTGAAGAAGAATTGGTGCTCCCTTCAATGACATATTAAGCGCTTAACCTACTATTATGATAATGTACATTTCTATATATTCTTAGAGGTTATCTATGCCCTTATGAATTAAGTTAAACATCTCCCTATGTGATATAAACACACTACAAATCAACTGTTTTTACTTTTGATTGTCTCTAACTGTTGATTATTGATAACTATTATATATATACCTATTATAAGAGTAACATGTTGTGCTATAAGTCTATCGGGAACAATTGGTCTATGTACCTTAGGTACATATATTTATGACTGACTATAGTTGTCGATAGGTATTGACCACAACTTCTTGCTATCCACCTACACCACCCACTGAAGTTAATCCTAATGTGCAATGTGCGTATACTGTCTACCTAGACATACTGTATATGCTGCGTCAGCACTGTAACCGCTTTTGAAATAAATCAAAGCACCAAGTATTGGCATCGTACGAGGTTACCAAGATACCCTACCCGTATGCACGTATGCATCTTAGACGGACACTGGGGTTTTTATGGTATACGTAAGTACGGAATATCCTTAGACCAATTGAGACGGGAGCAACCCTCAATTGATTCGACTACCTAATGTATATGGCCCAAGCGCCCAACCCCTTTTGACCACAAGAAAAATTGACCACAAGAAAAAAAGGAAGCTGGCAATGCGGAACGCTGTAGTATTGTGTTGACGACGCATATTTAGTTCGTATATGTCGGAGATCTGCAATGCTTGCGCGTTTATCATTGATAGGGTGATAATCTAATTGCACTAAGAAAAAAAAAAGTTGATTCATAGATCGATCGACAGGACAGAAACACCGCGGGAACGGGAAGGGTGGGAAAGGTGGGAAGGGTGTCTATCATTCAGCCCACCGATTATTCCTGTTCCTGTTTGTCCCCCCCCCTTCTCCTCTCCTCTTCCCCCTTCTCCGAAAAAAGAGGCTGGGCCAATTGATAGTGGGGACAAGAATCGTGTACCCAGCCTCCCCTATGTACATACAATACGAACGTTCTAGCTGTCATAAATCTGTCAATTTTCAATTGAATCGACACCGCTTCTAACATTTTCCAATTCCGATTTCAGATTTCTTTGTTCGTTTCGGTTTTTTTTTCTCTCGCACTTGCGATAGCCACCACCAAACTATTCCGTACAAGCCTCGTATTTGCGCTACCAAGTGCGTACATAACATTACATACCGTACATACACATACACATACATACCGCCACGATTCATGGAATGAAAGGAAATGAGTAGTAGTACATCCCGTCACCGTACCACTATGAATTCACCCTCCTCTAGGCCTCGTCCACGCCAGGCCCAACAACCACGTGACTACGAAGACGCAGCAGCAGCGGCGGCGTACCACAACAGCGGGAAAGCCCCGCGCTTCGATAGTCACGACGACTTTTACGATTTCCTCGACAGCAATCGAGGAGGTCCTATGTCCGGCCTAGGTGCCAATCCAGCCCCTAGCGCAAATCACGGTGCTGCGATGCAAGGCCAACCCTCACAAATACCCACACAACAGCAGCAACAACAGCAGCAACAGCAACGCTTTAGTCAGGGCAGCCAACCTAGTAACAGCCCATCGCAGCAGAGTAGACCGCCGTTGACAAATTCATTTCCCCCACAAGGAGGAAACACACCGAATCAATCGCGGCCTCCGTCATATTCAGGCAGTAGCCGTTCCGAGGAGATGCTCGTAGCAGACCGTACCAGCGGCGACAGTAGAATCCAGCGCCAGAATGGCCGCCGCACCGGACCGGGCAAGCCTGTGGCAGGACCACGACCGCCAAGCAGCTCTGGCGGATCGTCTCCACCACGGAATTCAGCAGGATACCCGTCCAACCATCCGCAGATCCAGCAAGCCCAGGCCCAGGCCAAAGCAGCAGCAGCAGCAGCCTCAGCATCCGACCCCAGCCTAGCAGTCCCCAATGCCAACCTCGGCGCATCCATCCAGCGGCTCAAGAGCCCTAGCGTCATGGATTGCGTGCTGCAGCCGCTAGACCAGAAGGTGCACGAGTACGCCGAAGTGATGCACCGCGAACAGGACGAGATGGACCGCCTAGACGCCGAGATCCGGGCGCTACAGGAGCGACGCGCCGACGCCGAGACGCGGTTCCTCGAGGCCAAGAGCAAGCACGACGACTACCGACGGCAGTATCTAGACGTCGAGCGTGCTATGCGCGGCGAGCCGCTACCCCCTCCCACACCGCGGGAGCTGCCTCAACCGCACCAGGTGCCTCTAGCGCGACAACACACGCGGCCCATGAGTTTCCAAGACGATGACGACGACGACGACGACGAGTTTGCGCCTCCGCCGTCGTCCCATCGTCGCATTAACTCCCAGCAGTCATTTGGGCGGACCTCGCAGAAGATGAAGGGAGGTCGTTTCCGGTTCAGTTTGTTCGGAGACAAATGAGCCGAGAGAGTGTCTGATTTGAAATTTAATGCTTGAAAGATATTAAAATGGAAAGGGATGATTAGTGTAATAAAGATGGATGGACATAGGTAATGATTTATGCTAACATCTTCCACTTCATCGATGTAATATGATGGGATAATGGTAACGATAATTAGAGTATGTGGACGGGCGTCATGGAAAATAAATTTAAACCTTTCAGGCCCTTGACAGCTGAGACCCCCTCTATGCTACACCTCGAAGGGAAGTGTGATTGGATTCGGAACAAAAGATTGGGGAATAGGGAGACTATCAAATAATATATTTTACCTATTACTCGGGAACATCACACATGCTTTGTTTCGTGTTAGGACCATGCCAGCTAAATCATCCCTCTTTACAAGCTCGCTAACTGAACTTAGCACATGCCGGAACTCGCCTAGATCTTTTAGATACCCCTCCAAATTAACCGATGCCATCGAAGCAACTTTGAATAGATCCACTACCGCTCGACTCCCATAATACAGAGTCTTTCGAGCTGAGACGACCAACCAAAAGTCAGCGTAACGCGTGCGTACAGCAGTTGTTCTTCAATATCTCTAAGCGCAGCGGTGTCGAGAATTGTTAGATCCTCCCACGACTGCTCCACGAGGTTGGTTTCCGAGTTATCCCCGATTTGTATTTCGTTTGATGTGTCTCCGAAGAAAAGTTGGGACCAAGCATCATCGTGCCACACAAGCTTACTGGCCGTAATCATACCGCTTTCGTCAATCATGGATCCGATTATACGTGGGTTGGGTGCCAAATCTCGCCGTGTATCGCAATTATTGCAAATTGCAACGGGTTTGTTGGCGTAAACTGGCATGCCACAGCTGAATAGATACCGTTAGATTGGCAAGATGAGATGTGATGTTGAACTCACCACTCAAAGCAACAAAAGGAACGTTTTTGCCACTGTTCCATCAATCCCATCTCGAGAATAATAACATTCAATTTCCCAGTGAAGTCGAGTTTCGGCTCAGGGTTACGTACCTGATCTTCAATATCGGCGATCGTGTATAATATTCGGTTAGGGCCATGAATTGCAAGATTAATATCCCAAGCATCATAAGGGAAGGGGATGTGTACGCTCTGTCTCTTGCTCATATTCTTCACTTTATCTCTAAGCCAGTCGGCATCTGGGAACTCGGGATCCACGTCGACCATTGAGGTGTATCCAATACCAAGTCCAGAGTGTGGATCATCCTGTTGACAGGTCGGTTTGGATATAAGGAGAATAGTTCGATTTGGAATCCAAGTTTTAGCCGAGGGAACTTTATCCTGCCATAGCTTCAGGACGCAAGTTGCCGTATCGTCAAAGATGCTTACGTCCACCATATCAAAATCACACTGACGTTTTTTCGAGTAGACAGTTCTACGCGGCCCAACGCTTCTCACGCAGACAAGAATCCTACCCTCTGCCATGTCGTATCCGGTAGAAAGATAAGCCTTTAAAGTCATGAGAGCAGGGAGATAGTTATACTCCTTTAAGTTACACTCCAAAGGACAGCGCAATATACGGTGGCCATCTGAACCAGGAGTGTCGTTATGGAGGGCAATGTGGGTTGCAATGTTTCGGCTAGGATAAATCTTAGTAGATGATGCACAAAACGGTATGTTGCCCGTGCCATCCTGAGTTGAAGCAGAAATAAAAGTCGCCCAAACCGTGACTCTCTGGCCAAGAAGCAATTGGTAGTCGGAAGTTTTCGCATAGTAAAGCTTGACCTACAAGATCTATTAGCGTCGAGATATAAAATAGGCCACTAGATCCTAATGATCATACTGCAATAGCGCCTGATCCATCAGATACGACAAGGAAATGATGGCCTTGCTCTTGGAGGTTGGTAGAAAAGTTCACAATCCTCCCAGTGATTTCATAATTAAAGGGACCTGTCTGGAGGAGTGAAATGGGACATTGTTCGTATGATCGTGGTGGTTTCCATGGTCGTGAAAGAGGGTTCGTCACTACTTCTATCTCATATGACGTGAAACCATCCCCCGGGATTTGAGAATCCAAGGAATCATTATTAACGTCTTCGGGACTTAACTGTACTTCCTTCGAATAGAAAGTCTGGATAGATGGGAAAGAGGTACCCATGTTGACGAAAACAGCTATGTTGGTAAGAGGTTGGGTACCATAAGGATGGATGAGAGGTGTCAATATTCTTCTTGTGATATTTCCGATTGAAGTTTCCTATATCGGCATGGGTATTGGTTTGGTAGGTGCTTCCCACCGATCCGTTGGAACTTCCTTATTTCAATATCCCTAACCTAGGTAGGTGCCTAAGTAAGGACGCACCTACTTCGTTACCATTTTCTCCAGAGCACGCCTTACAAAGAGGTAGGTACCTCAGAGCTAATCTCATATATGTACCTAGGTATGAGGTAAGTGTGTATCGGTACCCAGGTACCCTGAGACGGTTCCGATTAAGAACACCAGGCTTCCTACATGGGGGTATTGTTTATGAGCTCTTATTTATATTCTTCAAGTAGTCGCTCATAGCCCCTTAACGAATACCCCCACTATCTGATTCATTTTTCTCGCCGCATAGCCTCCCTAAAAATAATGTGCACTTCATCTATCGTCACAATAACCATTTAAACATATCAAGGATCAAGATTTACATGCGCTTGTTACTATAGATCTAGGTTCCCCCTTTTGTCGGGCTGCCGCTCAATGACCTATAGGCATCCGGGTTACAGCCAGTCCATCCACTACTTACTTAAGAATTGCCAATCTGATAGCCCCAAAATGTTATCCACTTGCTGTTTACAGCACACTGTAAATCTGGATATATTATTTCGGTTACTGTATTCGCTGTTGTTGAAGACGGTATTGTAACCGGCGGGCGACTACCAAGGATAACTGGACTTGCATATCCCAACCGTCCCAGCGAGCGCGCTTCGCTCATCGCCATTGCTACCTAGATGTAGGTATTTTGGGTTAAATAAATATATAGGTAGGTACATTAGGTGATTTGATCCCTCTTTTAAAGTTGAGTGGGTATCCAATGGCTCAAATATACTTTAAGAGTATACCTTCAAGCAGCACTTCAACCATTCACGTAATATAACTGATAGAGAGCAATTAGGTAGCTATGGTTTTAAAGCCTTTGAGATTATGGAAGATAGAATGACAAGATGATAGGAACGCTAGTGGGAGTCAAGCTGAATTTTTGATTAGTACGGGGCGAAGACGCCGAAGTAAACAATATATGATCGAAATAGTCGAAATACATCGATTTCTAATTTGCCCAGCTATCTTCAACAAATCCTAATCCAGAGCTCTTCGACTCAACTACCTAATTAGGCACCAACCCCTAATGTTGTTGTACGTGGTCTATCTATTCCGCAGATCCACACCTTCCTAATGGGGTTGATGCATACTTCGGGTCACATTGCATTGATGCTATAGTTTATTTCAACGACGAAAACTTTGGCATCTTTATCATGAAGGTTTATTCTTAAGAGTCTTTATAGAATATATGAATAGAGAGTTGCTATTGGTATTGGTATGCCAATTAGTTTGTAGCTTAGAAGACGGCAAAGGTTATTTATCCAATCAGCTCAAGGTTTTATATCACACTGTGATACTGGTAAAGAACAAGGCTACGGCAATAACAATTCTTGCGGTGGCAAACTATAAGTAGCACGGTAATGGAGCCTAGCCGATATGTCTCTTCAGGCTTGTACTATAATCTCAATATTGATCATTACATAGACCCCTTGTAGGTTATATTGTAGAAAGTGGGCGGACTTCTGGATAGTAATTACATAAGGCCAAGAACCCGAGAAACGAAATATTTTATAGCTTAGATTAGTATTTGTATATACTAATTAAACTAGCATAGCTAAAGTAGCCGCAGGTGGATTACTTGGATGAAAGTTGGTCTGGCCCATTATCAAAGTTTCTAGAGATACCTAGCTTCTTCATTTGCTTTTTCTTCTTCTTCGACAGCGGCACTAAAGCTGAATCGGTAGTTATAGTAAGATGCTAATAGCGCTAGTTAATAGGAAAACAACGCTAAGTTCACTCATGGTTAAGGCAATAATGTACCTAGGTAATAAAAATCTCTAGAAGGGTATGAACTATGTGTTTTTAAGGATACATTGTATCCACGGCTAGATATGTGGCCTACTTAACCTTGGCTGGTTCGCTTAACGCCCCCCCCCCTCCCCCTCCCCCGACATCGAGATTTCACAAAGCATTGTTGTTGTACAAGCTTACGGTCTCATGCCTGTGGAGTGTAGTTGGCAATGTCAGCGCTACTTTAAGCTTAATTGACCGTGGAAAATCAATATGGGGAAGATTCTGACGACATCATCTATTCCCGTATGTTGTGTGAAAGGGGCTGTAAGATCTTTGGGTTATGTAACGGAGATCAATCCTCTGGGTTTTGAAGTAAAGTCTCCTACTCTCGACGTTAGATATCCGGACACCTTAATCCCAAGCCTGGATAACATGTAATTTACGCAAGTAGTATGAAGTATCATCGTTTTTAGAGCGGTATAGTCGCAGGGCCAAGCATGTAAGGATGTTGAGTGTGTTTTCATAACCTTTATTTTCCCCTCTTTTGACTTATAAGCTTGATCAACGTGGAAGATCTAGCCCGCTAGCTCATAATCATTGCATATTAAGATGATCTAAAGTCGTGTCTAGTCTAGATCGAAGTCACGCGTATCGTAAGTGGAGCATTGGAAATAATAAGATACATAGGTAGGTATTGGCATGGTGCTAAGCTACATAAAAATGACTTAATAAAGCTAATCTGAATCTTTCTGACTGGAGCATCATCCAGGTATCCAACAACAGAACATGAAGCTTCACACGGATTACCATTTTAGGACTTCCCAATGGCAAGGAGAAATGATTTCGTCATAATTGAATGCGCTATATATAGAACCGGGATAAGTCAAGGGAGGATTTATTAAAGCGGAGAGATCTATAGTGCTTATGATTGGTCGAATATAACGTAACGAGACGGTCGCGTGGTATTAGCCAACAGATTTTAAGAGATATGTGATACGGTACAAGCACACACTTTACCAGGCACCTAAAAAAAGTATAAAGCAAAAGGTATGTACATGTAGTGAGTTAAGCTAGTTTTACCACGTTGTGTGTTTGCGTACCACAGTGAGGACAATAGCGGTTGTTAGCAATGGCGAGACGCAAGCTTGCCGAATTAAGTACCTACAGCAAACCATACATTTGACAATTCAACACGTCTTTTTAGTCATGCATAGGGAGGTCGACTCGGGCTTTGTCCGTCTGCTACGTATGTGGATAAAGTACCTAAACTTAGGATAGGCTAAGCCGAACCACTATTGTGTGTACGAGTTTTAGTTGCGGAAGCATGAAGGCATGGCACGTGCAACTATCAATTGCAAATAGACATGAACTAGGTAACAAAAGAAACCCAACCAAAAGGGTTATTTTTGAAGTTGGAGAGTTAGAGAAGAGGTCAGTAATAGCCTCGAGTCTTTCGAGACTACATAAAACAAAGGTCCACTTGGCCGTTACCCTAAACAATAAACGGCCTTCGTTAACCGTTCCAATCAGTGAAACAAATGTTAGGATGCGACGTAGATCTGGGGCCAATCTGGGGTAACTAGCGGTGATTAAAGTGGAGAGTCTTATTATCCTAGTCTATTTCTAAGCGTATCAACGTCATCCAGCGGAAACTAAGAAGTTCCACCAGAGTAGGGCGAGCTAGCTGTCCTCGCTAATATGCTAACAAATTTTCTTTTTTTTTTTTTTTTCTTCGCGCAGGTAGGTATCACCTTGTTAGTGCCCGAAGGTAATTGGGTGTGCTACAATCTCAAACTTCAGGTAGGAAAAGGTCTTTACACTTTATGTACTTCCGAACCTGCATGACAACTCCAAATACGCCAAGCTACTAAAACGAATTAAAGAAAGAAAACATCTCATTACCGACATCTAGCAATCAGTGCATTACAGCAGCCGAGAAAGGCCAAAATTGCGGCTTTTCTGGTTTCTATACTAGTATCCTTCTAGTCCTTCTAGTCCTTCTAGTCCTCTTTTTTCCCTCTCTTCTCATTGCACATTACACGTATACCTGGCGCACATACGGACATACACCAAATACGCAAATACAACTCACACACATACACAAGTCTTTGTGCATCCGTTTCCATTCCCCATTCCCCATTCTTCATTCTCCATCTTCCCATTACATCCCGCTACATTCTGCTCCCTTTCTTTCTCCCCTCGGTCTAGGTCATTATCGCTTACCTATGGCGGTCGCGGGGTAGGCAGTCTTGTCTGCCTCATTTACAATAGCTCCAGCTATCCTCACCGCCACCAGAACGCATATTTTCTTACCCTCTCTTTTTACCTTTCCTCTTCTCTCTCTCTCTCTCTCTCTCTTGCTACCCTTCGTCTCCTTTGACGTCTCCGGCTATTTTACACACCCTTTAGTTGATATTTGGTTAAATCTACACCCCCTGGAAAGTTGGCCTTCTTTACTCCAATCACGGCCTCGACAACAATTCGTTCTTAAGGTCCCACCGGGCTGCACTTATATAGGTACCTAGGTACCTAAGCAACACTGATTACCAGCCGGTCAGTGCTACATGGCTTTTATTCACTTATTCACTTCATGTCCCCACGTAGTATAAATCTAGGAAGCACAATCGCCTTAACCTTAGCAGGACCGCTTCGGTCAAATATACTATAATTCACGTTCCCTTAAAGGCATCTATCTCATCTCCTCCAAGGAGCGGATACGTTCTAATGGCCTTGCCTGAGGTACCTAGTCGCAAACGACATCCCCATACTAAATATGTCGTCAGGCGATTTCCCCAATCGCGGTCCCGCGGTCTTTGCTGTGACCATAGCGACGCTTGTCCTGACTAGTTGCATGGTTGCGGCAAGACTGTTCTGTCGGATCCGTATCGTACGAGGCGTTACATGGGACGACTACTTCATCATTATTGCCTGGATTATAGCCATTGCTCTAAACTTTACCATCGATCTGGGTGCCAGTAAGGGACTCGGCCGACACGATGAGGACATACCTCCTGAAAACTGGAACGCTCTCCGGCGTTCCGAATATGCCTTTTCAGTGCTATATGTAA